CTAAACAAGACAATGCACTACTTATAATTATTAATTGTTTCTTTACTTAACATAAATCTCATACAATTGAACTGGAGTATCTTCATTGTTCCATGCCTCATTCTCACACACCCTCAGTTCAATGTAATCAGTAATGGTAGCATTACCATAATCTCTGAAGAACCACGGAAGACCAGTACCATTACAACAAGGAGCTTCATGTGAAGGACAGTTATTCCCATCCCACAATGGATCAGTAGTGTATACTTTAGTATTGGAAGGTTCACTGTTTGTACCTGACTCACAATAGTAGTGCTCTCCTACGAAACTTTGAATTATATTGGTTGTTCCGTTATTACAAGGACAAGTAGAACCTGTATTGATATTTGACTGAAACCCAGCTATATAAGACCAGACATGTTGGCGAGGTGACCCACGTGTGATACTGACTCCATCAATATAAGCATCATTGATATCATCGATGTTAGTGTTGGCTCCATTAGTCCTTTCCTTTTGATATCCAACCACTTTACCACATATTTGACTATAACTGATACCATTTGTTTGAAATATGTTAGACCTACAACCAGCAGAATTACCCTCTCTCCTACAAACTCTAATACCTACAGTCATCAATTCCTCAAGTCCAGAGGAACAGTTCATAGTCGTATCAAGATAAGCTATTGTTGTCGATCCTCCATCTTGTCCACACAGCTCTCCCATATTGCAGTATATATTGCGACTGTTAACATGATAGTAACCAGAAGGACTATTGGGATGAGCTGCTTTTATATCTTTACAAGAAACAAGTCAGATGTAATTAAACAAAGAGGATTCATTCTGTATCTCTAGTAATTCATTGACTACTAGTAGTACATCATTAACAGCAGCAGCAGTTGGTATACTGATATCTTTAATAAGACTAGTGTTCAGTAATTGAAGTAGTTCATCTGTAGACCTGTTGGTATTATTAGCATGTACCATAATCTGTTGAATTATATTGTTCATTGTATCCTGTATCAGTGACAGGTTACCGTTAATAGCAGTATTACCACTATTAGTGAGGCCAGCACTGTTACTGCTTGCATTACTTGTACATGTACTCATGAAGGTATCTTTTGATATTAAGTTAAGTACAAGTATAGCTACCAATAGGAATCTTATGATCACCAATAGAATTATTATTGCAGCAAATGACTTCTTTCCTACAGTATACTGCACTGGTTGTTTAGGAGGTTTGGTATCCTTAACATTAGCTTTTGGTAGCTGATAATCTAATGAATATATCATACATTAGTTTTAATAATAAATTACTTGTATGGTATATACCTGAGTAGTCATGAAGATCTGAGTACATTGCTTCTTCAGTACTAGTATGAGTCTTTACTACTGGTTGATAGGCTGTGTTTTGTGTTAGCTTCATTTCTTCATTGAAATCCTTAGCTTCACTTTGAAAGCTTGTTGACATTGTCTTGTTTTCCATCTCTTCACTAGCACTGCTTATAGTTATGTACTGCTCTATTTTTTAGTTTTATATTGGCACTGCAACGCTTTCATTTTAGTATTTCAAGGTTTTATAGCTTATCTTTGTTTTTCACAAGATTACCGCAATGTTTACTTACAATAATCATGAAATCTTTTACAATGCTGTAATACATTGCTACTGGAGTGCTTATAAATGTGTGGGTATTGTTTATGTAACACAAAAGTTGAAAGTGTCCCAATGTTTACAGGCCATTGTGCATATGTAAATTGTCCATACGCTAACAGATAACATGACTTTCTAAGGCAAAAACACTTGATTCACATACAATAACAGCTCCCTCTACTCTCCATTGCATTATGATCTATGGCATATAAATGTATTAGTATTTTATAAAAGAATATAATAGAAATAGAAATAGCAATGAATCTTAGATTAGCACTATTGCAGTTGTACTATAGTGTCTACAGCTTTAGTCACTCAACAAAAAAACCAAGTTTTCAGCATTTCCCGGTCTTTGGTTCCCTCGGAGTCCCAACGTTCCAATCATTAGTGAACACATCCTCAAATATGTCAACAACCTTTGAGCTCTTCATTACTACCAACATGTCACGATTGACAGAACTCTTTGACTTAGCATAAGGAGGGAATGTACTTCCTTCAGGGAAATCACTTGGACTCCAATTACCTGAGGAGAGAGAGAGGGAAAGAGAGACAGGGAGGTAGAGAAAGAGGAGAGAGAAAGAGAGAAAAGACTCTGTATGTGTCCCTTCAGACTACCTTTGTAAAGTTTACGATAACAATCCTAAAATTGGAAAATAAAATTAACATGTATGGTATAAACTTGAGTAGTCATGAAGATCTGAGTACCATATAGCAGAAAATTTTTGTGGATTTCGTTTTTTTTTTTCAAATTCACGAAAATAAAATCCACGAAAATCAATTTAATATGGTTCAAGATAGCCAAATAGTAGAAAACCATGAAAATTAAAGACACGAATTTGATTTTTAAAAGGATCCACGAAAATTTTGGGCCACGAAAATTTTCCACTATAATGGTACATTGCTTCTTCAGTACTAGTATCAGTCTTTACTACTGGTTGATAGGCTGTGTTTTGTGTTAGCTTCATTTCTTCATTGAAATCCTTAGCTTCACTTTGAAAGCTTGTTGACATTGTATTGTTTTCCATTTCTTCATTAGCACTGCTTATGGTTATCTAAAGCTCTATTTATTTATATAATTTTATTTGTGTTTATATTGGCACTATTAATGAATAACAGCACATTTGCTTTCATTATAAATAGTGTGTCAAGGTATTGTAGTTTATGATATCTCTGCTTTCAGTTTTAAAATGTTTGTTATGATTTATTTACACAATAATAATTATTATTATGCCTGTGTTTCTACTAATGACAATGTTCTATAAAACTAACTACTAACAAAGACAATGCACTACTTATAATTATTAATTGTTCCTTTACTTGACATAAATCTCATACAATTGAACAGGAGTGTCTTCATTGCCCCATCCAGCAGTACCACACACCCTCAGTTCAATGTAATCAGTAATGATATCATTACCATAATCTCTGAAGAACCATGGAAGACCAGTACCATTACAACAAGGAGCTTCATATGAAAGACAGTTATTTCCATCCCACAATGGATCAGCAGTATATACTTGACTTTTTGAAGGAGTACTGTTTGTACCTGACTCACAATAGTAGTGCTCTCCTACAAATGATGGAACTGTAGTATTTGCTCCAGTATTGCAAGGACAGGCAGAACCTCCAGTGATATTTGACTGATACCCAGCTATGTAAGACCAGACATGTTGACGAGGTGACCCACGTGTGATACTGACTCCATCAATATAAGCATCATTGATATCATTGATGTTTGCGTAAACAGAATCGGTCCTTCCCTTTTGATATCCAACCACTTTACCACATATTTGACTATAACTGATACCATTTGTTTGGAATAGGTTAGACCTACAACCAGCAGAATTACCCTCTCTCCTACAAACTCTAATGCCTCCAGTCATCAATTCCTTAAGTCCAGAAGGACAGTTTTGTGTAATGTCAGTCATGTTAAGATAAGCTATTCTTGTCCATCCTCCATCCTGTCCACACAGCTCTTCCATATTGCAGTATGTATTGCGACTGTTAACATGATAGTAACCAGAAGGACTGTTGGGATGAGCTGCTTTAATATTTTTACAAGCAACAAGTCTAATGGAATTAAACAAAGAGGATCCATTCTGTAATTCATTGACTATTAGTAGTACATCATTAACAGCAGCAGCAGTTGGTATACTGATATCTTTAATAAGACTAGTGTTCAGTAATTGAAGTAGTTCATCTGTAGACCTGTTGGTATTATTAGCATGTACCATAATCTGTTGAATTATGTTGTTCATTGTATCCTGTATCAGTGACAGGCTACTGTTAATAGCAGTATTACCACTATTAGTGAGGCCAGCACTATTACTGCTTGCATTACTTGTACATGTACTCATGAAGGTATCTTTTGATATTAAGATAAGTACAAGTATAGCTACCAATAGGAATATTATGATCACGAGTAGAATTATTATTGCAGCAAATGACTTCTTTCCTACAGTATACTGCACTGGTTGTTGAGGAGGTTTGGTATCCTTAACATTAGCTTTTGGTAGCTGATAATCTAATGAATATATCATACATTAGTTTTAATAATAAATTACTTGTATGGTATATACCTGAGTAGTCCAGAAGATCTAAGTACATTGCTTCTTCAGTACTAGTATGAGTCTTTACTACTGGTTGATAGGCTGTGTTTTGTGTTAGCTTCATTTCTTCATTGAAATCCTTAACTTCACTTTGAAAGCTTGTTGACATTGTCTTGTTTTCCATTTCTTTGTAGTGACCAAGAAGGAAATGTAA